CACTTAAACGTTATTTTTTGTGAATACCCATATTTGAGTTTATCTATTAAACAATATATTTATTTATTTTCGTCTATTGAACTAAGTATTCGAGAAATCTTATTAAGGAAAAGATGCCACCCACTCACGAGAAAGGATGAGGAGAAAGATTGAAAGTGTATACGCTTGTAAATGTGCTCGTATGTGTGTCGTGTGAATATATGTGAGTGTCTGAAAATGGCCACGTGTCAATGAATGCAAAACTATAACAGAGCACTTACCGTAGAGCAATGGTTAACGTGTTAATCTCGCAAGCCATTCATAACAAGCTTAATCCCCAGAGTATGCATGACGAATGTGGCTTTGTGTAAAAATTTGTTCCGTTTAACAAATGATTATAACGCGAGTAATGACGAAAGAAAAATCCTTGGTTTTCTTTATCCTTGTTGGATTTGTGGTCACGTTTTGTGCATGTGTCAGGTTTATGAAGCCATTCGGTTGACAATCTGCTAAATAATGTTCGTATATACTTATTAATTATTACTAACACGTTTCTCTGTAAATAATAATCAATATTTTGTTTTTACTTCCGCTAAAAAACAGGAAATTTTTTTCTGTATGTTTTCTGAAGTTCTGCATGTAAACCGCCCTGAAATTATCAACAAAAAAAAAAACAAAAAAACTCCCCGACTTTGAATCTGAAAACTTTTGCTCGAACCTGTTACATCCTGTCGACTTACCCCAATTATCCACTTAACTAAACGGAAAAAGAAATGCAATAAAAAACAAACAAAAAGAAAAACAAAAAAAAAAAAAATGAAAAAAAAATGAAAAAAAAAAAGAAAAAGAAACAAAAAAACAAAGGCGGTGGGAAGAAAGAAAAATGTGAAAGTAGATGGTTCCACTAGTTCCAATAGTAACTGGAAAACAGAAGATAGTCTTTCTTCAACTGGACATAAATAATATATATGCTTTAGTGATAGAGAAAGAAAGTGGAATAAAATTAACGGGTTTGACTGTTTAAAAAACGTAGGCCGTTGTTGCTTTTGCTATTGCTGTTACTGAACGCCAGATTTGCGAAAAGAAAGTGGATTGTAATGGAAGATGGAGTCGGAATATATATGGGTGTGGAAATGATAGCGGTTGGTGGTTTCAGCGTGTAGGAGGTGAGGACAGGAACTAAGTAAAATTGTTGATGTTTATGGCGAGGGTCGTCGGTGTAGAAAGGAATGTCATATTGTTAGGTGGACGATCAGAGAAAAGTGTGTACGTTTTGTTTTCTGCGTGTGAGAAACATTTCTTTTTCTTACACTAAAAAAATATTGTTTTTAAGCCCTCTCCTACATAAAAGGTACATTTTTCGCTGTTACAGAACCTCACCTACTTCTCGTTCTATTAAAGATAAAATATGCGTTAATATACAAGGTGCGGTGACCAAGAATATGTGTACTATGCAAGGGTCAGTGAAAAAGTAACGCCTGTTCATTAATTACAACAAATATAATAGTAGAAGTACACAAAACATGTCAAAATGAACACAAAAGTCTCAATATTTAAAATATAACCCTTACGTCTCAATCGTAGTATATATATATATATATATATATATATATATATATATATATATATATATATATATATATATATATATATATATATATATATATATAAAAAGAAGGCACAGTGCAGTAATGGATAGCGGCTTGGATTGAGGTTCGAATTCCAGTCGAATCCAGTTACATTCACTTACGTGCTAATACCCTTGGGTAAGGTAGGAATCCTCTTCTTCTCCCTCCAGCTATGGGTAAATAGCAGGACAGACTGGGTTCTATAGCCTTGACTGGCAACTGGTTTAGGAGAAGGACAACTCTGAATTCAAAACCTGCGGCGGGTCGTTTGGGGACCTTGTGGCACGTAGTGCACCAGGTCTCTGTATTCGGCACTTCAAAAAGTGGTCTTCCATGAAACCTTCGCCACTATAATCAAATCTCATGTGCTGTTGTCGGGCTGTCGGTTTCCTAGGAACTGATCTGCTTGACCCTCATACGTCGAATTCGACGGGAGAGTCGAATATATATATATATATATATATATATATAAATACCTTGTAGAAGTTTATAGACTGATTTCTTAGCTAGGTACGCACTTTCACCTCTTCATTACTGGAGAATTTGTTTACAATGATGCTCACCCTGTACAAAGCATAAGAGCCAATTATGGTAAGGGCTTACCGAGTAAAATGCACAGTTTATGCGAATATGTGTGGAAGATAATGGTTAACTCTGGACTTGAAAAGGTTAAGTTTGTAGTGATCAGAGAAGCGACCAGTTGAAAATCGGTTCCACAAAGCAATGCTGCTCTTTGAGTGCCACCTTTATGTGTTCAAACAAATGAAAATCCGAGGGTGCTATGCCAGAATCTCTTCAACAGCAACTACTCTCTGTTCTTTCACAGAATCTGTCGGCATGTTTGGAAGGCACTTTACACATAAATTTTAGTAGAAAAGCGACTTTACTAAACTACAGTTACTGTCATGGTTCAGCTGAAAGCTTTCACAGAGTTTTGAAATACCGAATCCTTTTTTTTGCTATGAGAGCATGAGCCTCTTTGGTCTGATATTCATTCACAGTAGCAGCTGGCCTGTCACTATGGGGCCTGTCTCCTTCCTTTCTAGGTTTGACATTAATTCTATTGACCCATCTCATTACTGTTCTTACACTCATTGCAGCGTTTCCACAATCTATCATTAGCCTTTTCTGAATGTTTACACTACTTTATGCTTCAACAAACAGAAATTCTCTAATAGCTCTGTGTTTCCTACGTGTGACTAGGGGGGTGCAACCATTTTGAAAAAAAATTATGGGTGGAAAAACAGAAGGTAACTCCACAAAATTTCCCATAAGTTTCTATGCACTTTATTGCCAGAAAAATTCTGTTATTTTTAAAATTAAATTAGAACAGTTATTTTTTTTACCAACCTGCGCACTTTAAAACTATTACATTTTCTGCTGCGACTCTTTTAGTGTTTGCATTACTGAGAAAGGCATGGACTTAGAAAATTCTACCAGATTGTACGTAGGATTTTTGAAAACTCTTAAGCATCGTAATATACAACGTAAGTGTATATATGTTTGATTCAGTTACATTATCTATATAAGTAATTTCGTCATACGTATCACCCACTTTACGTATCAGTTGGTTTCATTCAACTGAACGCAGTTCATCATTTTACCTACTTGTTCATTAATGCAGACGCCAAGTTTTAAAAAAATGTTTGAATGGTAAATGTAAATTAAATCTTTGGTAACCTATGCAAATGTGTCTGGATCAATTAAAACTTAAAAATGCTCTAAAATAATAGTCTAGAATGTTATCGTACTCTCCACTTTCCACTATGCTACTGAATTTCGGGTCATCTATTGGTGTCACTTACGTTTCCTTGTCTTCGCATTATTCTGAAAGAACTAATATAGTTTATCTATGAAATCAGTGCATTCAGTGTAGTCAGAGCATGGAAAACGCTTTCTGATAAGAAGAGTATGTCTCTATTGATGTGGCCATAGGCTGCTGTTAGGTTGACGTAGTAAGTTTTTAACTGGAGTTGCTTAATGACATATATGCCATCATTACACCCCTTACGAAAATGAAAAGCAAATTGGGTTTCGAGGAGTTGAATTTGTTAATATATTGGTCATTAATACTTTCACCATAATGGATCCAATTGAGATACTTCTGTCTTTAGGAAGGTCTGGAGTGCTACCTTTTTATTTTCATGCCGCATTAACTTGCGATAAACTCCAACTTTTTTCTGATTTTAGACTCCCTTCATTAGACTGAGAAACTTGTTACTGAATTTGGGAAAAGTTAAACTATTTTCAAAAGGTCAGCCTCGATTTATGGTTCTTTAGATTTTTTTAATAGCTTTCTTAACTTCCTCATCACTAGATTTATTATTGTTTATGTTTGAAGACAGACTTTAATGATTGGACGTATATTATTATATGTTCTATTTTGTAGGCATCTTTAATGTAGTCAGGGTTAAATGTGACTCAAAGTGTTTTTGAGACTAGGATTTTGTTGTAACCTAAGGAAGGTTACTGAATAGAATAATCAAACGGAGGTTAGTAATAAACGATAATACTTGAGACAAGAACAACACATATAAGATTCGTCAGAAGTAGTCGACTGATAGAAATGAGTCAATTGAATTTTACGATGAATCTCCAACTCTAGGATATCTACCAACCGCCCCAAAGCCGAATTTAATGTGGGGTATCCGAGTCCATAGGTTCGGCCAAAATTTCCACGTGGACCCTGTATAAAACGGGGTCGGGTAGCTGTTTCCCGAGACGAGATTCTGCCCTTCGACATAACCTCGTCTGGGGATCCTCCCTGCCCGGAGGCAGAGAGTTTGACCAGCTCAGCTAGAAAGGAATCTCCAATTCGAGACCACGTACAGTATTCACTACTGTATTTATGGGAATGGGGGCATACCCATTATCGTCCGTGGGTATACTACAACAGATTTCATATGCATTCGTTTTGATTCTATGATTCTTCACATTTCAAGACATTGTCTATGCTATACCTTCATTAAATGGGAAAACATGACATAATCAAGATGTTGATCATCATCCACATTAACCCACGCAAAAAGATAGAAACTCCTTTAGTATGTGGTCAGTCTATAGTAGTTGAAACGTTTTGTTACATAACTTCAACAAACAGCCTACTTAACTGCCTTTAGATATCCTGCAGGTTTTTTTCACATCTCAATCACCTGCTGTAGCATGATATATATATATATATATATATATATATATATATATATATATATATATATATATATCGGTCTGTTTATTTAAGAAGTGCTGAACAGTTCTAGATTGAACCAAGAAGCCTTTCAAAACAAAATAAAATTAAAAAAAGCATGAAATTTGATCATTTAGCGAGGTTTTTGAGAAGTGGGTTGGTCATTGAATTTTTCAGCGTTCCCTCGTATCTAAGATTAGCCGAATCACGTTGAAACACCGGTCCTAGTACGATCACCGAAGTTAAGCAACGTCGAGCCTGGTCAGTACATAGACCAGTGATCTCTTAGGAATATCAGGTGCTGTAAGCTTAGATAATTGGAGAGCCTAGTTCCAATTCGTTATATTCATTACGCACAAATACCCTGACGAAAGGTATGTATCCACGTCTTCTCTATTCTTCTCAGTTATGGGTTAATTAGTAAGACTTGTATCACTGAAACCGTTATTATATAAAAAAAAAAGTATAGCAAAATTCTGTATAAAATATTTAGATTTCGGCATTAATCTCTTTCTCTCTCTCTCTCTCTCTCTCTATATATATATATATATATATATATATATATATATATATATATATATATATATATATATATATATATATATATATATAAGGTAAATTCTAAACAGCAGCCGTCCCCATAACACAACGCTCTTCATAAAATGTATCGAGCACTATGGTTGTCTGGTGTTTGTTTACATTCGTAACAATAATACGCTAAAATTTCCCTTTCCCTCTGCCGTGCGCTGATAGCTCAAGGATAGAAACACCGATTGATGTCAAATAGGTCGGGTTTCAATCCCGGTTTTAAGCCGAACTAATAACCTGTGATACAGCGAAACAGGCCTGTATATGGATGACATTAGCGGTCACTGTGTGTGTTTCTAAAAATAAATACGCTAAAATTCACCTGACACCAATTCAGTCGGGTTTCGATCTAGCTAGAGGCAACCGGATGTCTAGCCACACTGATGAGCTGCGAAACAGCGAAACAGTCTGTCTGTGGATGACTTTATATAATTATATATATATATATATATATATAAAGCAACATCTTTGCTGAAACAATCCTCAGTAAAAGAATAGCCTCCACTAGCCAAGGGAGAGATTCCAGTAGTCACTGTGTAATGGTATGCTACTTCTGAATAATCAGTTCAAAGTCTTCAATAAAGGAATACCTTCCTAAATCTTCGCTTGTAAAGCTTTTTCTTATCTTGGTCACCTGCAGTCAGTCTATCTATCTATCTAGTTTTATATGTCTACTGCACTCCTTTTCAGTTACAGTGATGTATTTAGATTTTACATATTTGTATGCTTTTTAGGTGTGTGTGGGTATAGTAACAGTTACTGACACAGAAAGTAGAAGTGGCGAGCCGAGCTCAAATTCCGGTCTAGTTTGTTGCATTTACTTAACACTGTGCTTCTGGGAAGACATAAATCCTTTTTCTTTATCTCACCCAAAATTGGGTTAAATAGCAGAGTAGACTGGCCTCTCTAGACTTGAGTGCCAGCAAGTTTAGAAGAAGAACAACTCTTAATTCAAAACCGTGGAGAAAGCAATGAGAAACTACTCCCCTATTCTCCCCAAGAAGTTGTGACAATTCACAGCTAATAAAGAAAAAAAAAATCTGTGGATAGCTCTGATTGCCAATGTCCTGAATGAACATCATACCAAAAAACTTATCTTTTTATATCTTGGCTACCTGTCTTAATGTGATGATTAATTAGCTTATCTCACAAGCCATTGCTCGTAAGCTTGTTTCTTATTAGGTAGTTTACTTATTAGTTGGTTTCTTTGTCATAGTCTAGACTCTGTACACAAACAATATACATTTGCAAGTATATCCGAATGTATATAATGATGTCTGGCTTGTATGACTCTTTCAATGAGTGGACAAAAATATGTAAGAAAGTAAGCGTGTTTTTTTGTTGATAATGAGGTGAAGTATGAAACCAGGAAATATGTTAAATGGATTAAGTAGATAAGAGAGAGAGAGAGATAGAACTGTAAAAAGACCAGAGTCAGCAAAAGAGAGAGAGAGAGAGAATAGAAAAAAAAAGAAGAAAAAAAGAAACGTATTGGCAGGCAAAAATAATTAAGGAAAAAATAAGAAAGCAAAAGTAAAAAGCTAATAATAGAGTCCGTGTGGACAGAAGAGGACAAATAAGGACAGAAGTTGAACATATGAAAATATAGAAAAGGTGAAGGAGAAACAAGAGAGAGAGAGAGAGAGAGAGAGAGAGAGAGAGAGAGAGAGAGAGAGTGTGTGTGTGTGTGTGTGTGTGTGTGTGTGTGTGTAGAGGTACGAAAGAAACGTCGTTATCAAGTGCTAACTTCCTGGTGGATAATTTTTGGAGAAGTTGGACAAGGAAAAATAGGATAACCACGCGCGCACACACACACACATATATATATATGGTTTTGTCTATATGATAAAATTATAATAAAGGAATAATTATCGCTCTACTATCGGAATCGAGCCCTCTTTTGGATTAAAGCAGTGAACGTTGGAATTTATTTATTACTTTCTTTCTCATCGCATCGTATATATATATATATATATATATATATATATATATATATATATATATATATATATATATATATATATATATATATATATATATATATATATATATATATATATATATATATATATATATATATATATATATATATATATATACATATATATATATATATATATATATATATATATATATATATATATATATATATATATATATATATATATATATATATATATATATATATATATATATATATATATATATATATATATATATATATATATATATATATATATATATATATATATATATATATATATATATATATATATATATATATGCATTTATGAATCGACCAATTAAAATGACATCTTTTTTACGTGTCATATTCCTTCAGGACGTGGGCGATCATAGCTCACCATATCTACCTGTCTTTTGCTGTTGTAAGTAACTTTTGACCCATTACCAGTTATCTTTGTTCTGTCATCCATTTACGCAAGTTCGTAAAGTAAGTTACTCGCTGTTCCTTTCTGCTTCTCTCGTTATATAAGTGTGAGATTCTCCAGGCCCTCTATCATCATTATATATTTCAATAATTTCAGCTCTCTCTTCCTGATGACTACTATAAGTTTCTATAGCATTCTCGGCATTTGTCAGTAGGACTACATCACTGTCATTTCAAATTTCTTCCTCATTTTTGAGGAGATTGTTCATCATTCATTGCCATTATGGAGAGCAGATATTACATAGTATTTTAGCACTCTTGTCTTTTGTTCCTAAGGATATTTTCTTATCTCTAAATACTTAGTTTCAGTGGATAAAAGCGTTGGTTGAAGTAATTCAGTGACTTGTCCCAAAGAGATGCGAGTTCAATACCTGGCCAGAACAGAGTTGAACAAAAACTTGAAGAGTTGAGATGCTAAAGGGGAAATAACTGAGACTGAGATATACAGAAAAGGCATGGCACATAGAACTAGAACAGTCTACCCCAGTGGACGAAATAAAGGGTTCGGTTCGAAATTCCAACGTATATCACCTGAAGAACGCCGGAGTGTACAACGACCGAAACGACAATAAAGATGAGGACAACAGTCCGAATAATTTAAATAGTTTAAACAGTTTTTTTACTATTCAAACAGCTGTTTGTGTTATACCGTAAAGAAGTGTCTATACCTATATTTCAGAGATTACACAAAATAGTTATTAAAAATACAGAAATGAGGTTTTTTTTAATAAATAGGAAATCAACAAGATAAATACAAAATATAGATTTCCGATATCGGTAGTAATACATTAGCCAATCATTTAGCCAATTTATATCGCATTGAAATCTTCAAAGGAAGGATGGGCCTTAATAGTACGTTGTCTTTGTGGGTTTTGTCAAAAAATATAGCCGAGACGGCACAGAACACACAACAAGCCTGATGACCATACAGATGCCACCGAAATATCCTTGCACTTATCTAAATTAAGCAAGTGTTTCTGAAATATCAGCTCAATAGTCTTGATTTTGTTATGCTTGGAATCTGATCTCAATTGCACGTATTTATCACCGTCTCCTCAAATTGTAATTATTTTCTTAACGTAATGGCCATAATCCAATATCACTACACCCTCACCCTTATCTGATCTAGTAATAATAGACTGGTGACGACGCAAAGATTTAAAAACGCAAAATTTCCCACGTCGCCAACTGAATTCAGCACAATTAATAAGTACCAGCATAAGCATGCTGGTCATTAAGTCTTGCTTTGAGAGTGCTAAATCTGCTTTCTGATAAATGTACACAATTGTCCTCGGTTGGTCCCGAAGAGCGAGGATCGAAAACTAGTTATTCTCTTTTTTGTTATTTTCTTGTTTCTTGTTTTTGTTTCTATTGATTCACGTCTTTATGGTGATTGATTTTATTATCCTTGCTCCCCACTCCGTTTGTTGTTTTTTTATATACAATTTTAATATGTTCGTTTTTATTGCAATATATATATATATATATATATATATATATATATATGTGTGTGTGTGTGTGTGTCAGCATAAATGCATAAATACATATATATATATATATATTGTTGAAACTTGAATAAAACATGGAATAATAATAATACAACACAAAATGTACTTAAACAAAATGTATTGACACAAGAACGTGTACACAATATTTACAGATAGTTTGGTATATTCTTGGGAAGACCGTTCCTGTAGAATAGGTTGACATTAGTCGCAGTCGGGCAGAGTCTCTGGATTGGATCTCTTCTTCCTCCCCCGTCTTCCCGGTACCAACCATATTTATATATGTACCATTATGTAAATTAGGTGGATCGTACCACAACATATATATATATATATATATATATATATATATATATATATATATATATATATATATATATGCAGGCATCTGTACGTTCGTATTAGCATCAGCCTACGCGATCGCAGACATACTGACTAAATATATCATTGCATATATTAAGCAATTAAATGTCACTAGATGTTGTATAGTATCGTTTTACCCTACCAATAAACCCTCGCTCAATTCAATAAAAAAAAAAACTGGAAGAATAAACTACTAAAATGGATTCATTTTTGTGATTCTAATTCTAGCCTGTTCCCAGTATGAGGTCGTTGCATGTTTTTTAATGACGCCACTCATCAATGTTTGAGCTCATATAAAAGCCACGGTTTGTAATGCTGATCTTCAATATAGGAAGTAAGCCTTCCCATTTGGAAAGTGAGTAACAATTTTTCTACTCTATTTGACCCCGAAACTAACCATAAT